CTCAATCGATGGAAGATCCAGTGAAAACAAATAAAACATTATGAATAAAACATTTCAATCGATGTACTTTTGGGTGGAATCCAGTGAAAACAAATAAAACATCATGGATAAAACACTTCCATCGATGTACTTTTGGGTGGAATACAGTGAAAACAAATAAAACATCATGGATAAAACACTTCCATCGATGTACGTTTGGGTGGAATCCAGTGAAAACAAATAAAACATCATGGATAAAACACCTCCATCGATGTACTTTTGGGTGGAATCCAGTGAAAACAAATAAAACATCATGGATAAAACACCTCCATCGATGTACTTTTGGGTGGAATCCAGTGAAAACATATAAAACATCATGGACGTTTGGGTGGATTGACACTACTTTTGTTTCAAACTTTGGAAAACTGTGAAGGACTTTGATTTAACAAGGGTTTGCTGTTGTTAAATGTGAGTCAATCAATCAACGAATTAAACACATCAATTATATTGCGTCGCATGTGGAAAAGAGAAATGTTTTGTCCTAACCCTTTCTGTTATTCTGTTGCAAGGGTCATTCGTAAGATTAAACTGTCATCGCATCAGAATGAGCGGAATTAGTCTTATACTTTACAGCTCACTGTTCAGGAATCCAGTCAGAGCCCATTGCCTTGTTTCATGAAGTGCCGCCCTACATTATGAATGACGGATGTAAAGTAGCAGCGTTGCTGAAAAACAAACTGAAGCTGTGTACGAAATGTTTATATGCTAAAACTTGCATATGTTTCGTTTGTATCACTGGAAGTTATATTGGAGATAATATGTAAATAAAAGGGACAAAACCCTTGCCATAGCCACAAGAAATGTCTGCTTAAAGATCATTTGTAAGTCACCTGTAGTCGTATCTTGTAATGGTTCTCACCCTCTTACTAACTAGTTGTAATATCTAGTCATGGTATTGTAAGATATATTTTTTTAATTTATATTCATATATAAATTTGGAGTTAATTACTCCTTTGATACGAGCTGAGGTTCTTTGGAGCTTAAAAAGGATTAATTTAATCCAAGTTGAATGTTTTATCTGTAAACTATATAAGAGTTGAATTGTACAAACTTCGTTTATACCTATTATTAACATTTGCAAAAACTAACTGCCTTAAACCGCCTTTATTGTTGTCGTAAGTGTTGGTATGATTACTAATATTTCAAGACGTTGACATCTTTAGGGGATAGCGGGATGAGAACAAGACACTTCATTCAAGCGGTTTTATTTTTAATCATTCCACCTTCGTTTAATTCCCAACATAACTTTAGAAAAGGTAAATTTATATCATCAATATATTCAAATGATAACACTAGCCCCCATGGTTATATTTTTTTTCAATAACAAAATACAACATTTAAAATGAATTGATAATGACTGTCTCAATGATATGGAATTAATGTCTTTAATTTTAGCGCAGTCACGAATTCTGTTCGTCATGACCAAGGACAATTATTTGTTGTCATTGTATCGTGTGTTCTCATATCGCAGCTGACCTTTCATAGGTTCTCTCTTGAGCTTTATCACAGCCGATTTTAATTGCGTGGGACGATAATTTGAATAATGCGCACATGCTGGTCTGCACTTTGATATTTCAAAATGCATTAACTCTACATATGAAAAGTGCAGACGGGGGTGGGGGAAATTATTAGCATCAACTTCAGTAGGAAACGTCACTCTTCAACAAAGACTTCTGCTAGAGTTGCTGCTCGTTGTATATTTGTAGTAATTAAATAATTGCCGTTATTATACAGAGCCCAGCCTTAGTGGCATTGACGCTGGGCGGCCGACATAAGCAGCCAGACACCATTAACGAAACTGTTTGTACTGAATGTTCAGAAAAGCATTCTCACATCTTACAAGAAGCAGCTAAACGATCAGTTTGATCATGGTCATCCTGTAGTCAGCTTAACACCGTTATGAAGCAACGCGGACAACTGTCTCGCTGAGGATTATTTAAAATGTAGTCGTTTCATTAACACAAGGTCGCCCTCATGTATTGCACCCTTATATGAAGCGAACCTGTCATTTGCCCGAGCGAACACTTAAACGACTATGCTACACAATGAGTTTAAACAGCTAAAGTGTGCAATGTAAACAATGTCATTGATAATTCTGATCTTGCTGTTGATTCGTGTTACACTGTGTTTAGTGTACGTGTGTATGCTCATGAATGCACCCAGTGCAGTAGCGTTACATATAAAATGGTCTCACTCTGGTTTAACTTCACACGCAATGGGCGTTCTCTCTTCTGGGGCCTGGACCACTGTCATGTTTCCGTGTACAATGTAAGAGATATTCCAAGTGTAAAGTCCACTATATGACCGTGTGCAGTAAAAAGGGTTACACATGCCTTTGGGGTGAGTCATTAGGGTCAGACTCGGACCCCGGGGGGTCGGACCAGCCGGATAGCTACTGTGATTGCAGGGTAGAGGTAGCTGATACCATATGACTTCCAACATGCAACCTACACGCTGTCATCTGTCACCATTGTCAACACACACTAGCCTGGCATGTGACCTGTGCCATTTAGTGGAACTAATGGCGACATTTACGTTTAAATGTGTTCCTGTAATTTTCCCCACTGAGAGACTGTTTGTTGTGATTGTCTGCGTTGTGTATGCACTAACAGCACATAAACATAGACGACTGTATTGACAGGTTTGTTTGGAGTGCATTTTGTATTTAAGTGTTTTTCTGATCGGAAAATAGATATGAAGTTATGGTTTTGGAAGATGGTTATTTCTCACATACGCGAAACACTCGAGCAGATAATTCGATGGTCGGCCATAAACTGTGCATTGTGATCAGTGAAGAATAATGAATAAGAATACATAATGAAAATTCTTATTGAATTCTTATTGAGTACTTACTCTATTGGGGCATGCACTTATACAAATTGCTCTTGGGAGAATGTAACAATGGATTATCGCTAGATGTAAAAACTGTACAAAACAATACTTTAGTGATCGGTGAATCCATTTTAGACATAAAAGAGTGTCGATTATTAAAAAAACCTGGTAGAGATGTGCCTTATTAATCGACTGCATCATTTCTTTTCGCGAACACCTGGTGTCAAAACGCTTTTTCAGTGATCCATATTCATATTATTTTCAATGCTATTTTGTCTTTTACGCCCAATGGAATCTGTTTTTATATACACATTTTACAATATTAACGCCATTTGTAAAAAGTCAAAGCCGATATGAAATTCAACCAGAACCCGGGACCCGTGAGCATATCGTCAACTAAACAGATTACTGGTACACAGGAACAATTGTATGACCATGTTCTGCCTGTGAATATGTTGTTTAGTTTCAATTCAGCAGGTATACTTTCCTGTAAATGTATCGGAAATGACTGTTCGGCGCGAGACGAATGCATGTTCAATGGTAGAGTGCACGCAATGGATCTCCACGCAATCACTTTGTCAGGAAGCATTAGATCTTTAAGGCAGTTCATGTAACGGTGATAACATATATTGCCCGTTTGGCATATGAGATCTGGAAAATGGGATACCATCAATGCATTCATAGATACCTCAACCTGATGGTGGCTGCTTGATCATCATTAGATATGTCCAGATGGTGACAATCTGAAGGTGCCCGTGGCTACTTGAGTAGTCTAGATATGTCCAGATGGTGACAATCTGAAGGTGCCCGTGGCTACTGGAGTAGTCTAGATACGTCCAGATGGTGACAATCTGAAGGTGCCCGTGGCTACTGGAGTAGTCTAGATACGTCCAGATGGTGACAGTCTGAAGGTGCCCGTGGCTACTGGAGTAGTCTAGATACGTCCAGATGGTGACAATCTGAAGGTGCCCGTGGCTACTTGAGTAGTCTAGATATGTCCAGATGGTGACAGTCTGAAGGTGCCCGTGGCTACTGGAGTAGTCTAGATACGTCCAGATGGTGACAATTTGAAGGTGCCCGTGGCTACTGGAGTAGTCTAGATACGTCAAGATGGTGACAGTCTGAAGGTGCCCGTGGCTACTGGAGTAGTCTAGATACGTCAAGATGGTGACAGTCTGAAGGTGCCCGTGGCTACTGGAGTAGTCTAGATACGTCCAGATGGTGACAATCTGAAGGTGCCCGTGGCTACTTGAGTAGTCTAGATATGTCCAGATGGTGACAGTCTGAAGGTGCCCGTGGCTACTGGAGTAGTCTAGATACGTCCAGATGGTGACAATCTGAAGGTGCCCGTGGCTACTTGAGTAGTCTAGATATGTCCAGATGGTGACAGTCTGAAGGTGCCCGTGGCTACTGGAGTAGTCTAGATACGTCCAGATGGTGACAATCTGAAGGTGCCCGTGGCTACTGGAGTAGTCTAAATACGTCCAGATGGTGACAGTCTGAAGGTGCCCGTGGCTACTTGAGTAGTCTAGATACGTCCAGATGGTGACAATCTGAAGGTGCCAGTGGCTACTGGAGTAGTCTAGATACGTCCAGATGGTGACAGTCTGAAGGTGCCCGTGGCTACTGGAGTAGTCTAGATATGTCCAGATGGTGACAATCTGAAGGTGCCCGTGGCTACTTGAGTAGTCTAGATATGTCCAGATGGTGACAGTCTGAAGGTGCCCGTGGCTACTTGAGTAGTCTAGATATGTCCAGATGGTGACAGTCTGAAGGTGCCCGTGGCTACTGGAGTAGTCTAGATATGTCCAGAGTGTGACAGTCTTGAGGTACCCGTGGCTACTGGAGTGGTCTAGATATGTCCATATGGTGACAGTCTGAAGGTGTTCGTGGCTACTGAAATGTTGTATGTTTGCCATGTACGCTGATGTAGGAGGAACTCCAGATAAACACATGGAGACATTTACCCACAACAGACTTGACTGCGTTGGTCTGTGATTGTTCTGAGTGAACCTCGGATATGACTTTCTTTAGTGTATAGTGTTGTATATGTTTGTGCAAATTTCAGTTTACATATATAAATGTGACATATATGTTTCTCTATCTAAAGATCTTATTCTATCTTTCAGAGGTTTTATGCCGCTCAAGGAAGCTGGATTAATCGCCAAGAACTCCAAAGAAGTCAGTATTCTAGACCAACGTGATGAAAAGGTTCTCCACAGTTTGTGAAACTTTCCTTTTGAGTAAATGAGTTAAAGCCGCTTTGAACAATCGTGTTGTGCAGAACTGGTATTCAGTATTCACACATTATGAAACCTTTACGCTTTCGTTATTTTAATGTGGTATGTTCAGCTTTGAAGTTTTCATATAAACCATGTTTTATATTTATGACACATCCCCCCCCCCCCCCCCCCCCAGAATATTCACCCGATTGAATAAACTGTCATTTCCTTAAAATTATTATATCTGTCACATGAAATATTTATAGAAAAATCCTTTAAGGGAGGAACGCAGCCTTACCATGCGATCTGTAAATTTTTAAGACAGGCATATCAAAATATATACTTATTCACGACCTGCGCCACCTATCAAACACTTGGAGAAGCACGAGGCTTCAGTTCCATGTACGCCAAGTGACATTCTAGTTTCTGCTTTCACAATGTCAGGCCACGTACGTAGTCACCTTAATATATGTCACGGTGACAAGACTAGTCAATAAAAATATTTCCTCGATAGATTTCCGGCGTTTTTCATCCTACTGAATGGTTATGTTTGTGTACAGAGTTATTTTAATTCCAGAGTTATGTTTTAGTTTATGTGTTATACTTGTAGTTTCAAAATATACCACTCAAAACAAGTTAAAACGTCCACAATTGGAAGACTGTGTGTTGCACTATCCACCTGTTGTGAAATATTAACTATAGTCATATAAAAATATCGGGTGACCTTTAACTTTGTTTGAATAGTATGTATTTATATAAGCAATATACAGATGTTGTCATACCTGTAACATGTACAGTGAAGCCCTTTTAATCAGGAACCCCGCTGTCCTGTCGATTACTTTCAGGAACATATATTCATTGCTCAGTGAAGATGTTACTTTCTCCAGAAGTGTGTTGATCCGAACGATTTCACTGGCGGGATCTGGTCATCATGTCATCGTATCCAAATTGCTTTGATCGATGCTCATGATGTCAATCACTGGACTGTCTGGTCCAGACTTGATTATTTATAGGCCGCTGTCATATAGCTGGAATATTGCATAGTGCATAGTTGTTAAACAACAAACAAACAAACAAACAAACAAACAAACAAATATAGAGTGGAATAGCCCAGTAGTCAAAGTCGAATATAGGGTTCTATTCCCCAATGAGTACACTGTATGTCGCCCACCTCTGGTTTTCCCCCAAACAATGATACAAACTGGGTATTGCTTGACATATTGCACATCACATAAATTATTCGTCGAGCTTTCATATTAAGTTTGATAGAAACCTACCGAATGAAAGTCTTACATTTCATATCTTACAAAGTTACAGAACGATGAAATACTTTACGTCGGAAAAGTCATTTCCAAGACTGTATTCATTAGCTTTTGAAGGGTTAATGCATCACGAAACTGCAATGATTGCAGGTGTAAAGATAGTTGGTTTAAACGGTAGTGTTAATGGCACCACCGACAACAGATGACAATAACTACAGGCGACAAGCGATCATTACTTTGCTGTTTATGGGGTCAATGCTTATCGTTAAATCTGCGAGGTTGTCTCGCTCTCCTGATCAACTCGATCAACAAATGTTGCTGAAGGCCAACTTTCACCAGAGTTAATGAATGAGGTTTAAGGTCAATTTGATTAGTTTTTCAGTTATATCACGGCGTGTCCGTTAATGTTGGAGCACAGGCCAAAGGTACGCAGGTTGTAGACAATTACAATGTTTGTTTGTTTGTTGTTTAACGCCGCACTCAGCAACACACCAGGACTATGATGGGGGTCTGTAAATAATCGCGTCTGGACCAGACAATCCAGAAGAAGAAGAAGTAGACGAGAAGAGCACATTTTGTGTGTTTGACAAGATCCTCGTCAATCTCTTCCAAACGATAACGTCGTACATGGTGATGTAAAGTAAGTTGCGAGGCTACCTGAATCTTCCTTGTTCGCGGGTCACTGAAGAGATGCCATTTATTCACTAAAAACATCAAAATGGTATAAAGCTTATGTCTTTTTCGAAGCAAAAGACTGTAGTTCATGGCCCAGTGATAGATTACACACCGGCGTCTAATCGGTCTGATGTTGAGACGGCGTAAGCCTATTTTGCTGCTGACGTCATCGTCTAGTTTGTTTGTAATCTACAGTCTACAGATTGACACCCTTCTTCAATTTCAGTGCAAGTAAATAGTGTTCCAGATTTGCAAAATGATGAACTTGGCTGAAATTGCACTGTCAGAAAGTGTATGTATGTGTGTGTACATGCGTGTATGTGTGTGTATGTTGTGTGTGAGTGTTTGGGTGTGGTGTGTGTATGTCATGTGTGTGTGGTGTGTATGTTATGTGTGAGTGTTTATGTGTGGTGTGTACATGTGTGTATGTTATGTGTGAGTGCTTATGTGTGGTGTGTGCATGTGTGTATGTTATGTGTGAGTGTTTAGGTGTGGTGTGTGCATGTGTGTATGTTATGTGTGAGTGTTTAGGTGTGGTGTGTGCATGTGTGTATGTGTGTATGTTTCGTGTGAGTGTTTATGTGTGGTGTGTGTATGTTGCGTGTGAGTGCTTATGTGTTGTGTGTGTATGTTGTGTGTGAGTGTTTAGGTGTAGTGTGTGTATGTTGTGAGTGAGTGTTTAGGTGTAGTGTGTGCATGTGTGTATGTGTGTATGTTTCGTGTGAGTGTTTATGTGTGGTGTGTGTATGTTGTGTGTGAGTGTTTATGTGTGGTGTGTGTATGTTTTGTGTGAGTGTTTAGTTGTGGTGTGCGCATGTGTGTATGTGTGTATGTTTCGTGTGAGTGTTTATGTGTGGTGTGTGTATGTTGCGTGTGAGTGTTTATGTGTGGTGTGTGTATGTGATGTGTGTATGTGTGCGTGCGTACGTGCGATGGGCTAGTGGGTGGGGGGTTAAATATACTGACTCTCCGATACAGTCAATGTAACCGCTATACAAGATAATGTGTTTGCATGTTTAGATCCGCCTGTTGATCACGTATACATGTTATAGAGAACCTGATGTCGGGGGCCAGGCAATAGTCGCAGACGCTGTATTGTCGTCAAAACGTAGAGGTCAAATATTTAAAAACATTTTAGTTTTTAATTTTCCTATTATAAACAAATCTAAAAAGATAGCGCATGATTTGTATGTTATGCACAGGGGGGACGATATCATATCTCATTCCCTCATACGAAATAACCACCTTCTTCAAGGCGTTTACTGTGCTACGTACCAGTGCTATCTACAGAGTGCGGGTTAATATACATACAAACAAACAAACAAACAAACAAAGTCTGCCCCGTATATGCGCAGCTCATATACAACCTGAATTGCAAAAAATGCATTAAATGTAAAAAAATTCGGCAAATATTTGCGTAACAATTCTGAAACCCTGATTCATAATTCAAATTTCAACCACCTAACCCAGACTTTACCCTGGCACACAAACATTATGCACAACTCGCTGTGGGTGTTTCGTAATCTCATGTTTGTGTAAAGGATCTCATCATATTGAATTCGGGTATTTTATTGAGTTAATTTAATTGAGCAATATCTCCCTTTATAATAAGAATATAAAGTGCATGCATGAATGCATGACTGCATGTTTGTTTGTATGCCCAATGCATGGAGACATGTCCCAGTGTTGACTCTCGTCCCGGCTGTGTCTCGACGAGGTAGCAAGCCCCTCGATGTCCTGTGACCTACATGTTGTATGACTCACACAACAGGAACGAACAATTATCAATGTGTACAAAGATAAAGTTTGAATGGATCTGCAGTATTAGGCCTACGTGTGTTCATGGCCTGTGTGAATGCTGTACCGGGACCCGTATATAAGTTCTATTTAGTGCAGGCTGTACCAGGGGACCTTGGGAAACATTAGGCTGACTTATACCCTCCCGACATGTCTTATCAGGTACCAAAGATATACAGTGAATAAATATGTCGGTCATATCATGGAGAGGGTTACCACAAGCCTCATCTTAAACTTAACATCCTACCATTGTCTTTTGTGCACGTATGCAATAAATTAAAAGTGCAATGCATAACAATAATAATAATAATAATTAATAATCGTTGGCATTCTAAAATTTTAGCGCTTTCACAGACCATTGTACACACAACTAATGAACAGCGTTTATGCTCCTATATATTCACATATCCTTCATCTCTTGTTCTGGTGGTCATTCTTCTCTCATTCTAAGATTATAATGCATATAAATTAAATGGTGACGGAGACGTTGCTGAAAAGTAAATAAACTGCTAACAATGATATTGTTTAACATGTTAAATTCTTGGCTGTGATACTCAGGATCCAGACATGATTACTGTGATGGTTGTTTGTATAGTCAGTCAATTAGAATTACGCTCTGATACTGTTTTCGCCATTTAGCTATGCATGACGCATGATTGCCGATGCGGCGATATGCAATACTCATTCACTCATTCTGTTAACCACGATGGAACATGATCATTTATATTGAGTTACATGCAGGCTAACATGCATATGCAGGATGACGATACTTTGTTAAATACAATGTATTATCTAAGTATTGCATATATTTCTTTGCATGTAACTTTGACAATGATTTCAGTTCTTCAGGATTGGTCTTCAGCATTGGTCTTTTAACTTATATATGTTTGTCACTCGAGGTACATAGCGATGCAGCAATGCACAACACACCATGCACATTTCACAATCCACTGCTTCTCGTCCCTTGATAAAAGTCTACACTGTGTATGCGTCTGACTTGACTGTAATGCGAAGGCAACGACAAACATCTGTCTGTGCATAATGAATAAATTTATAACAATTATATAAGCGCAATATTGTTTGACTTTGCAGCAATAACACATTTAAAAAGCCATCTTGATTTAAAATTTCCAATTCACTTTATTTCTTCCCATCATGACAAACCCTCACACATACACACAGAGTTACTGCTTCATCAGACCGCCTCCGTCATCTAGTGGTAGAGCGTCCGCCCGGAGAGCGGAAGGTCCGGAGTTCGATCCCCGGCCGCGTCATACCAAAAGACGTTAAAACATGTACTTGTTGTTACCCTGCCTGACGCTAGGCATTAAGGGGCTAAAACAAGGATCGGTCTGCTCGGAGTCAGTATACTGTGTCTGAGTGGGGTATTCATGTTAAACTGCGGCATGGTATCTCAGTGGGCTAGCACTATAAACTCGGCATTGGTCTGGA